ATATATATGGGTCCACACAATGCTGATGTTAAAACTGAGATTTGAAAATGTCCCCACAAGCACAATGGGTATTTGTCCCCACAGGGAAGGATTGAAATTTTTAAAGATGTCATGTGTCCGGATAAACGTTCGCGAGGAGTACTTTGAAATGCACATATCCTTATTTTCCTACGTGACGGGGGATGGGTGTCCCCAGAATGCAGGCATACATACATGGTCCTCGTAAGTGAGCATTGTTATGTATGTATGTATGTATGTATGTATGTATGTATGTATGTATGTATGTATGTACGTACGTACGTACGTATGCATGTAACATGGCCTTCATTGCAAATCATAAGCCTAATACTGTATGCTGTATGAATAAGGAACTTACTCAGGTCTAAAGTGCCCAAATTTTGGGAAATCGTGCCTCCTCCGCGAACAAAATATGCATCTACTTTTGCAACGCCAACATCTGGCCAACGTTTTCGTCCTGACCCTTTCCTCCTCCTCGTCAAACCACTCTAGCCTATCCACCAACAGGAACGGTACCACCGGGTTATCGTCTTCCCTTATTAATTGTTTCGATTTCATTAGCTTTATCCGCGAGGACACCAACGTTAAGAGTTGAGGCGATGGCGCCTCGCCTGGTTGCCATCCTCCCAATCTTCCAGGGGAGATGTCCTTCAGCTGCTTCTTCGTATCCTCGTTTGCGGTTTCGATCAGCTGGCCAAAGAATGCGCTCACGCCTTCTAACACCGGGTTTCCTCTAACCTTATGCCCCGCTCTCAATCCTGCCTGACAGGCAAAGGTATAAATTGCCACATCTAGCAATTCTGTCAGCTCTTCTGGAAGGCGCTTTTTCGAACCTGTTGTCCCAGACGAAGATGTAGCACACGACGCCATGTGAATTTCGACGAGGAGATGTTATTTTCCATCGTTGTCGATTTTCAATATTCGCACCTCAAAGAGCTCGTTTTCTGATTGGTGCGGGAATAGGGGTGCTTTGTTACCATTATCGATTGTCTCCATCCAAATATGAAAGTCAATGAAAAGGCCGGAAATAAGAAATAAATCACGAGGCCACAAGTTTTTGCCTGGGTCAGAGATCCTGTATAAATGTCAATGATTGTCAGTGGCTAGTTGTTAATATACGATTAGAGATGCCTTCCTCTTACCCACTGTCATTCCTGCGTCCTCTGTACGATATTGCTGTGTGGCAATTTATTTTGATGAGTGGCTACAAGGCAATTTCAGGAAGGGAATCACCCCGTAACACGCACATAAAGTTCACTTGAAAAATGCACGAGGTCGTGGCTAATTTTTTACACGGAGCTTAAGCAACCACGACAACTACCGGGACGACGACGACCGGAAGTAGGAGGAACGTTAGTGCGCAAGCGCGGCCCAAACATTTCGTCGTCGTGCCAGCGTCGACGACGTCAGAAAGAGTTGTTTCACGTCGTCGTGAACGTGGGAAGAAACTTGAGTTGAATTGAGCACTAAAAGGTACGAACTTACTACCATTTGCCAAATTTGATAACTGGTTGGAGTTTTTATTGTCTTGTGCCGTTGTTTTAAGCTCTTATGTTCGGGTCAATTATCACAAACGGCTTATTTTAAGTTTTCCTTTTTTGCACAGATGGCGGCAAGTGTGAAAACTGGAGAGAAAGCAAACACGTAAGCAATTTATTGACGGAATTTAGTGAAAGAATGCTGATTGTGATTATTTTTGAATGAAAAGTTTTAGATAGCAGTACTATATACCTGTGAATTCGGGTGCAAGAAAATATAAAGTAGGTAACTTGTAGATTCGATCTTTTACTTAATTAAAAGCGTCGAGGGTTTTCATCAAATTGCGTGTTTACATTACTCAAGCCTTTTTCCCTCTCTGGTTTTGTAACTTTATTTTCGAAATATTTCACTAACTATCCGGCTAAAAAAAGATTCCCTTCGCCGTGAATGTGAAGAGAAAATAATCTTAAAGGCTCGGCATTCTAGGCTGACCACCGATTGTTTGAAAATGTATTGTTGTCGTTTTGCTTGCGTGAAGTAGAAAGCAACCTTATTCAAACCTGAATCCTGCATTTATCTGGTGCAACATCAGGTTTGTTTATGAGTTACACCCCGTAATGTTAAATGGGAAATAATCTCCGTAAAATCTAGTGTTCTTAATATTTACGGCGGGTAAAAGAAATGTGAAATAATCTCCTCAAAGTCTAGTATTCTAAATATTTACAGCGGAAATTAAAAATACACGTATCGCCGTGAAAGAACTCACAGAACAAATTGCAAATGTAGGAGGTCGGAAATAAAATAATTTGCATTGCTTTCGATCTTTTTATTGCGGTAAATTTTCCCTTAAAATTTAGCTCTTTTAACAGCAAAGTAATATGAAAAGATTTTATAATATCAAATAGTGGATTAATTAAATTTTTATTTAGCACAATCACTCACAAATCCTTTTCTTATCTACTTTGGCAGAAATCCAAATTTCGTGTGGAGTAATGACCACGATATCGTTATGTGTCGAGAGGTTCTTCAGATCGAGCCCTACCAATTTAAAATCAGAAGTCCAGAAAGGGGGCAGGCCTGGGAATCTTTGGCAGAAAAGTTAAACGAAAATTCAAGTCCAAAGTTCCGGGTGACTGCAAGGTCCGTAAGAGACCGCTACAACCTCCTTACCAAGAAAATGGCTGCAAAACTAAAGAGTGAAGAGAAAGCTAGCGGCATTCAAGTTGAAACTTCAGAGCTTGATGATCTCTTAGAAGAAATCCTTGAGAAGGAAAAAGCTGCTAAAGAAAAGTTGGAGAGTGACAACCAGAATGACAAGGCAGCAGCCGAAGACATGCGAAAGAAGGCTCTAGAACGTATGGGGCAAACTGCGAAAAGAAAAAAGGAAAGTGATGACTCAGTACCAAAGAATCTGAAGAAGAAAAGTCGAAGGAGCACATCAGATGCTGTGGAATATTTAAAAGAAAGGGCGGATAAAGAGATTGGTTTGAAAGAACAAGAACTGGAATTAAGGAAGAAAGAGCAGGAGAACATAAAAGAAAGGGAGAGGGAAAAGAACCAGAATCAAGAAAACCTGATCTCCGCCATGGTCAAACAACAGCAGCAGCAACAGCAATTGATGATGATGATGATTAATCAACAGCAGCAACAGTCACAGGCATTTTTAGCTTTTATGCAAAAATATGTTCCAAAGTAACTTTTTCACAAGTTTGTTTGATGAACATTATTGTTGAGTTAAAGTTGTGCACCCCTCCCTTGATATTTTCAAATCTTTTGTTAATAACATTTGTTCTAAAGATGATATATTTATTTCATCACAAACATTTTCAAACTTATTGCGATTAGAAACTTTACAATATTTATAAAGTTCTGAAGACTATTGTTATGAGCTCTCCTTTTGATTTAAGAGCAAATAAACAGTAA